GTATATTTGGGAGTAGTTACAGGATATTACAGTACATGTACTGGGTTTTCTACGAGTCATCTGGTGATTATCTTCTTAAAACTTGGTAGGTGCTTTTTAGATTTCAATTCTAGAGGAAAAATGATGGAAGTTGGAAGCATGCCCAATAGAGCTTAATCTCTTCTACGATCAACAGGAGGCCCAACTGCTTATTAAGAATTCATGTGTTATTGAATTGAACTTTTCATGTTCACTTCAATGTTGAATTCAATTAAACGTGAGAGTGATGTGATTTGAACTGGTGTTATTGATGAAAAGTCATGGAACTGGAACATTGACTGTGACTGTGATGGAATTCAATATGAAAAATTCATGTTTTTTCTGAGTCAGGACATCACATATCCATGTGACTCACACCTGCCATTATTTTGAATTTAGACAAATATTCAATATAAGTCCTTTGTGATGACGTTCACCGCATATGAAATCACATTCTGGTACTCGGTAATCTACTGCAATAGGCGAGAACACAATAGCACGAATTCAGTTCAAATGTGCATAAGAAATCAATATAACATTGAAATAATGTGTATCAGTAGTTTTTTCAACAATAAATGCTGTCATTATCCAAAGAACGCGTTTCCAACCATACAAATTTGTGGACCATTCAAAAAACCAATAATGGCGGATACGTGATGACGTAACAAGTATTGGCGTGCATTTGGCAACGCTGTACTGTACCTTCATACATATTTCCTAACCTAAGTAACCGAACTCCTAAACATCAGAACATCAGAGTTTTTCTGTGATTTTCCATCTGCTTGATAGAGTTGAATATTTTCTTGGGTAATCAAAATATTCAAATCATTGTGACTATTATTGTGACATAGTCTGATGGTTCATGTTTATTGATTGGAGATATGAAGCCAGTATTCGAAAAAGCAATCACAATCTTCCAGTAGTTGATTCAACTATGATTTTTGAATTCTGCAAGTTCAAATAACTGGCATGAGCTGTTTCATAAAGGTGAAGATTAGTCCAGAACATAAAGTTCGTCCTACACCATAAAGAGTTGAGGCTGAGATTCATGAAGCTGAAGAAACTGTAGTCTGGATTGCGCAGTTTCAAAAGGTAGAAGGTACATAAATTCTTGACTTTTTTATGAACTGTATTCTTTTATATTCTTAGGTAGATGTAAACACAGTGTGGCTTTCTTATTATGGTTACATGGAAGATCAGAAGAACCCTCTGTACCTTCTATGGAGTGTTACTGAAAAGTGTCCTACTCAGTGTCCAAACTACCAAATTTTTGAGCTTCCTATCAACATTCATGCCACTTGTACAATTAGCACCAAAACAAGTTCCTACCCTCCCAGTGGTTCCATCAAAATTTCTTGAAGTTTTTCAAGTAGATGGAAAACATGGATGCCAAGGATAACTGTTTTTGAAAGAGTTTGATTCTGATTCATAAGCTGATTATTTTGTCCAGAAAACATTCATCCAATTTGTCTCCTGAGGGATTCCAAGACTTCATTCATCAGAATATCAGTGACAGTGATTGTGAATTGGTGCAAGATATAAAAGTGAATCAAAACAAATCATCATTATCAGCATGGTTTGAAGTTTGCTATGGGAGAATTACTGCTTCAAAGCTATGAGGCACAAAGTGCAAGACATTTGAAGGTACATTAGATGAGCATGAGAATTTTGAGAATAATGGTAGTTTTCAGTTACTTAAAGTGTCATATTACCCAATATTCCTTTAGAAAATTATGAAAGATGCTGAAAATTTTTGGCAAACTGTTATTTTCACCCATTTAATAAAATTATAAAATACCAGTACTAACGTACTTTTTTCTGTTTATTTCCAAATTGGACTTATTCAGAGCTCACCAGTGTCTTATAAATAACATATTTCATCATGCACAACTTAAAAATCCCTTCTCATATTGATCATACACTATACCTTCACAAACTGGAGATGGTAGGTATATGAAATTCATGTTTATTTCTTGTCGAACAACCCAGTTCATTTTATTGTCAGTGGAATATTGGTAAGAAAGACCAATACCTATCATTACACCAAAAAAGTAATGAAAGTAGTAAGAAAAAAATCCAGTTAGTATAAACCAAGAAAGCACTGGCATATCTAGAAATGATGGAAGATGCAACATCAATTCTCAATGCAAAAAACAAAATCATACAAGCCAAAATTACTAGATAGGTATTGTCACTATTTCATGTGGAGAAAATTTGTCAAAAATGTAAACAAATAGGTAGTACACAGAAATTATCAGATGCCCCCATCTTCAAAATGAAGCAAGAATGCTCAAGAATGTTGGTGGAAAATTTCATTTATTGTCCACTTTATGCAGTAGATATAATTAGAACAGTTGAATATCAATAGACCTCCTAATAGATATATTTCATTTCTAATGAATATAGATGTAGAACATTGAAATATTATATCAATATCTTGTCCAGATCATCACAAAGTTTGCAAGAAAACAAAGTATTTGATGTCAGTCTCTTCCATGACAGGTTTCTTTTCAGGTTCTTCAAGGAAACTTTCTTCAACTAAAACACTCACTGGTACTTCCAAGAATTTTCCTCAAGGAGAGTCAATATGATTTGAGGGAAGTTGGAAGATCTCCTTTTCCGTGCTGAAGATGAAAGTTAGGATTTTGATGGGTGTTTTCTCAGTTTTGGTCATTTAATGAATATATATTATGAGGAATCACATCTTCAGGCATATAAACTCTAGTTCCAATGAGTTTTTATTCCACCCAGTTCAACATTTAATATTCAAGCTAGAACAAAAGGAGTATGATCAATCCATATTGAAGAAAAAATTCTACTCACATCAAAATGATCCTCACAGTAAAATATATCATTCGATTCCAGGTATGGTTTATCCCTCGGTTCATCCATATACTTTATTCAGTGTTGATTAAGCAGGATGGAACCAAGTTTGTGGCATTTTCTTACAGCCACTGCCATCCCAGAAATGTGAATCAACGTTGATGAGAAAAAATAAATAATTCGAATGGCACGAATAAAAATAATATTGGCTGACAAAAACAAATAAACAATAAAATAAAATAACAACTGACAGTAGTGACAGATGAACGAATCGTCAACTGTCCACAGAGTCAACAGTCCAGAAGATATCAAGCGACGTTGCCGGATCACCGTCTAATACTTGTCACGTCACATTAACGCGCGATATTCCAGCTCGTTTGAACGGGATCAATACTTTGCAAATTTTTTGTGGAAAAACTACTTAAAATAAAAATCTGAAAAAAATACCTGAGACTTTTATCGTCATACTGAAGGCCATGGTATTTTTTCCAGAAATTCGTGTTCTCGCCTATTGTAATGGATTTTGTCAGTTGCATGGTATGTCTCAGTATTTTTTTTTTTATTTAGACGACATCCTATATATTTCTTCAGTCTATCTCATTCGCCTTCAAATTATCTTTTAAAAATCTATCACAAAGTGAGAACGACGCTCTGAAAATCTGGTTTTTCTAACAATTCCAGTGGTGTGATCTTGCAATAGATTCTGTAGCACTTTGATATGGTGATGGCAACCTCTCCTACACGCTTCGATCGCCAGAAAACTTCTCAATCGGTTTCCTGCTTCGAAATTGTCTTGCTCGTCAAAACAAGATTTTGTTTTTCATTACTTGATGTCATGATTGTTGTTGAAGGACCACCCTGTATATAAAAATAGGTTGATTATGCATCATTTCAAGATTTTTGACCATTGTCCGAACCAGATTGACAGGAACACAAAGTCAATAGAAATTAGAGCATCAAATTATGCATTATCTCAATGAAACATTCATATTTAAGTAACGCGTTTGACAATTCCAATATTTTCTCACAGTATTGAGAAAACATATGAAGCAATATGTTTTTGACCCCAAAAATAATAGAAAAAATTTTCTTTCAAACGGAAGGCGTTTGGAATTTTTAGAAAAATGCACAGCTTTGATCATCATCCTGTAGAATCTCATCCTGAGATGATGAAGTAGTCATATCCATAGTTTCGATAGTTTATAAAACAAGCTTTTGGAAACTGAGAAATAATTGAAAATCTGTTGGAGACATCGAAAGTAATGATGGTTCAAATTTGATTGAAAAAATACGATTTCACGTTTCATGTGTTAAGCAGTTTATTTTGGCTCATCTTTACTTATTCTCACTTCATTATATCCTCAATATACCTTTTCATCTATTTTTATTACTTCTCATCCATTTTCACATCTGACACCATGCTTCAGATGAGAGTTGTAATTAAAAGCCCTCCTAATAGTTTCATGACATTTATTGATAGGATTAATTCTGACACCTCTATAAAGTGTATTTGAGTACTCTCACCATAACAACCATTATTTCATATGTGACTATTTAAACAAAACAGGAATGCCTAATACCCCTCTTAGGACCTATTCATAAATACAGTTGTATAATAGGAAATAATTGTCGAAGGTATGATGTCTGTCCATTTTTCTTTGTAGCTCTGGGATTCTTTGCCAATGAAAGTATTCCCAAGAACTCATAATCTTCAAAAGTTAGGGGCACGTACGATGTTGTCCCAACATTAAAAGGATTTCCTTTCGTGCGCTACAAAGGTTGAAAAAAAAAAACAGAACAATTCAGATTATCTCTGAGGATCCAATCCTAGCCTATTGCCACATATAATGGAAAAAAAAACATCGGGTTTGCTAGCTTAACCATTAAGCTAGCAAAACAAAATCTCAAATAAAAGGCATATGAGGATATTGAGTACACCAGCATTTAAGGCTAGTTTGACGCCTTTCATTGGGCATATCATTGGTTTTTTGTTAATTAGTGATTTATTGCAATCATTTCTGAACAAATTCGACATGAACAAGGAGTAGTTCGGTGGCCCAATTTTTTGCAAGTGTCACATTTGAGGACCACCGTCCTATCTATATCTCGGGATGAGTCATATATCTGTGTAATAAAATTATTTCGAATTTGTTTTTCAGAAAGGGAACTATCACCTCCGGCAAGAATGGTGGTAGGCTCTGAGGGCTCGCCTCCCTTTGAATCAAGAGCACTTATAAACCCCTTCGATCCCTCGCACGTTACAATCAAATTGACATCAAATCGCAGGCGATGGACGCACATATTTCCAAAAGGACCTACTGGAGTATTGATTCAACAACATCATTATCAAGCCGTTCCTGCTAAGTCCGATAGAAATGATGCGGACAAAGATTGTTCTGAACAGATTACTTCACCTGTTTGTAAATCTGTTGGTGCCCTAGCGGCACTGCAAGAATGTAGGTATTTTTCATTGTAACTGTTATTATGATAAATCATAAACACTTTGTATTTCACCCTGCCACCTATACTTTTTTGAAAAAAGAAATTTGGCTCATGTAAACGGTAGCTCTTAATCGGTATACTAAGTATGGGTCTTTTCAGATCTTTATACAATATTCAAATTACTCAATTAAGAACTTGAGAAGTGATGATGGGAGGCATTCTCCAAGGTCAACAAATAAATAAAATTCTACCATTAAGCAACAGGTTTATTCTTTTATGGTGGCGCAGGGTTTAACATTCAAGATAAGGGTAATAGACTGTTGGCCCGCGACACAGGGTTTATCGATGTTCTAAGTCGGTATGCCATTTGAGGGACCCACTCACTCAGTACAAGTTAACAGGAAGGAGTGCCTCGGAGAGTCGCAACCCAGTCCTTGTCCCGGCCCTAACCTCACCTTTCGGTTGGAAAAAAGTTCAAAATTTTGTTTAAAAAATTGGGGCGCTTGCCGGTTTGCATATGCCTAGGTCACTCCCCAAGGGCGGCATACGAACCGGAAGTGGCAATTTTTCAGTGTTATAGTCGATGATCTAAGAATGTATGCCCTTTGGCGAAACAATGAATTCGGACCCACTAATCAGTTTCCCGACATTTGCATACGATTCCGGAGAGGAGAGCTCGACTTATTCGAACATCAATTGACTAGACATCTTTCAAATAATCGATGATTTAAGTTCGTATGCAAAACTTTGGACCGGTAAACTAGGATATTCTGTATAACTTGATGCTATTTGCATACGAATTCAATGTGAGCATTGTAGCGAAACCAATACGAGATTGCTATATTCCAGTCCTTTCCCGAAATAATCACCCCAATTATATAGCATTTCATACTGTATCATTATCCCCACGGGTACTCCACTGTGTCCGAATCCTCATTTCAAAATTAATTAGTTGTTTCTAGTTTTTGTCGAATACCGAAAGAAGCGAGCTCCCGTTTTTATAATAAAGTGAAAATTTCGAACGTCGTTGCTCTTGGGAGTGTTCAGTGCGTAAAATATATCCAAGCTGATATCGTCAACCAAAAAGTTTTCCCCAATTTCGAAAGTGTTTGCCATTGACTGCACAGAATCTTTGCGTTCTCATCTGTCCTGAAATATAATTATTTCAGCAACAGTGTGCCTGATCTGTCAGGTGAGTTACGTCATTAAAATATATTGCTTATAGTTTACTGGACTCGATTATCTTTGCTACTTATTTGTCAATTGTATTCGGATCATATCGTGGGAAAAAATGTTGTATTTGGTTTCCTCTGTCAGTTTTAGACGCATGCTACGATTGGGTGGAATTAAAACTTGGTCTGTCCGACTTAGCTAGTTTTTCTTACCCAGAAACCACGTACACAGTGTGGACCCATATAAACTACCCCCTGAGATTAATTGAGTTTCGCCGCAACTTGTCGACCAACGCACGGCCACATTGGGTTTCTATAAAAGGAAATGGGGCTGAGTAATACACCCAGGACTGGATATACGGGGGCAACGAGGAAAAATGGAAATTTGAATAATTCAGGAACAGGTTCAACCTCACCTTTTCGAGGGTTTCTACCACCACCACCACCACAAGGTAGGACCTTTCCAAATTTTTTTCAAAACGTATCATTTGGGGATGCGAGCGCTGCTTCAGCAGCACATTCGCCTCAAGATGAAGCTGCATCAGTACCACCGCAGCAAAATTTCATGCCGTTTTCGGCTTCAACACAGCCGCCACCCTCGTATAATCAAACGCAACAGATGTTTTATCCGCCACCAAGTCAAGAAGATTTAGTGCGATTAGTTACTACTGTAGTTTCTACAATGATGTCTCAAAATAACGTTTATGCAAATCAAAATAATATAGATAATAACGTATTTCCAAACATGTCAATAGTAGAGGCCAGTAAACTTCTTCCAAATTTTGATAACGAATATTCATCAGTTCATCCGATAGATTTTTTGCAGTCATTAGAAAATGTTTTAGATGTTCACAATCTACCATTTCAAAGAATAGCTTTCGTAATAAATAATCGTTTTCATAAATCGGCAAAAACTTGGTGGGACGCATTCGCTAATCGTTTTCAAACATATCGAGAATTTAAATTAGCTTTTTCTGAACATTTTTGAGGTGATGATAAACAGTTAACCGTCAAACTTAAATTAGAGTCCGGAAAATACCGGGATGGTCTCTGGACGGATCATTTCAATAATTATGTGGTACTTGCTAAACATCATCAACCCCCCTATACAGAACAGCAATTAATTGGGATAATCGCCCGTCATTTTCCCCCAAATATTTCAGTATTACTTGTAGGTGTCAACGATTTATCTGAGGCACTAAATCGGCTTCGACAAGCCGATAATTTTTGCAATAACTCTTCAACACAAAATAGAGTTCATTTTTCTCGTGAATCGCAAAAAACTCACACTAATCAAGTGCATCGAGATCAGCATTTCAATAAAAATTTCAATAAAAATCCGCAAAATATTTCTAGCTTAGATCTAGACGTTAATATCTCGGAAAACGAGCCGAGCCTTCAGAATTAAGCTCCGATTTTGAGGTATTACGCAAGGGAGCACGAGTGATTGTTAAAAATAATCCCACGGAAGAGTTACTAGGTGAGTGCAATTACGATCATGAAATGCTCGATAATCGCTCTCCCAGAGTGACAGTAAAATTTTTTGATTTTTTGTTTTTGGCTCTAGTGGACACAGGCAGTCAAATTTCAGCTATTTCCGAGGATGTGTGGAATCAGTTCTATAATTTTCATAGTGATATTCCGCATTTCAAATGTAACGGTATTCGAGTTGTTGGAGCGTTCAAAACAAAGTATAAAAAAGTATCGCTACAAGCCGAAGTTACTTTTTCAATAAACGACAAAAAGATAAGTCATGAATTTCTGATAATATCAGGTTTAACATATCCTATCATATTAGGATGCGACTTTTTGAGATTGTTCAGAGTAAATATAAATTTGTCTGAAAAACATTTAGTGATGAAAATCGAAAACGAGTTTGTTGTAGTCCCTGAAGTTTCAGATATTCATGAAAGCTCAACGTCCTTGAATTTATCGGCGCTTGTTAATAAAAGCGAATTTTGTTCGCCCGTTTCTAATGTTGATAATGGTAGCCCAGTCCACTACAGCAAGTTTTTCAATGTTTCTGATAATAATGTAAAATTTGAAGGTAGTACAGAATTTTTGGATACCGAGTGTTCAAATATTCATAATAATATATTTGATTCAATTATATCAGAATGTAACGTGTCAAAAAATGACAAACTTGTTTTTGAAAAATTGTTATTGAATTATTCAGCAATTTTTTCAGACAAACCAGGTAGAACAAATATGTACACACATTCTATTAAGTTAATGGATAATACGCCATTTTTTGTAAAGCCCTATCCAATTCCTGTATCACATAGAGATGCGGTACAGAAGACAAATGGAGGAGTGGGGCGTTATAGAACGAGCACCCTCTCGGTATATTTCTCCATTAATGACTACCCCCAAAAGAGACGGAAGTGTGCGGGTATGTTTGGATGCGCGTAGGTTAAACGCGGTAATGGAACCGGATTTCGAGTTGCCAAGGCCTATAGGTGAAATCGTCCGTTTAATGGCGGAAAAAAAATTCTTGTCGTGCATTGATTTGTCTCATGGTTATTGGCAGATTGGTCTACGGGAGGAAGACAGGCAATACACTGGTTTCATGGTAGGGAATAAAACTTACCGTTTTCGTGTTTTACCATTTGGTATCCAGACAGCAGTGAGTGCCTTCAGTCGCGCTATTGATACAATTTTTGGGCCAACTTTCCAGGATTTCTTGGTGGCCTACCTAGATGATCTGTTGATAATGATTTTCAGCTTCGAGGATCACATGTTACATCTGTCCAAGGTTTTCAGCAGGTTACAAGAAGCAGGACTTACCGTCAAACTAGGTAAATGCCGATTTTTACAGCAGGAGATGCCTTATTTAGGGTACATCGTGAACGGGGATGGAGTACGACCAAATCCAGAACGTATCCAGGATCTCCGGGATTACGTGAAGCCAAAAAATGTCAAGCAGTTGCTAGGGTTTTTGGGGTTATGTCAATACGACAGGATGTTTTCCAAAGATTTTGCAGAACTATCCGCACCTTTAACTAAGCTGTTGAGGAAAAAAACTGTCTGGAGATGGACTACCGAACACGACCAGGCTTTCCACAATCTGAAAGTTTTGTTGGAAGAGGACACCTTGTTGTTTCATCCCGATTTGTTACAGCCTTTTTGTGTCCAAACAGATGCCAGTGATGTTGGAGTAGGGGCAATACTTTTCCAGATGATCGAAGGAAAACGTAAAGTGGTAGCTTATGCATCGCGTTTGCTGTTAGACCGAGAGACGAGATATGGTTCTACCGAAAAGGAAATTCTAGCAGTCTTGTTCGCTTTTCAGAAGTGGCGAGTTTACCTACTGGGTCGTTCGTTTTTCCTGTATGTAGATAATTTGACAATATTGTGTCTGACAATTTGACGTTACCATTACCAACTTTGAAATAAGAAATTCAGTGTGTCCATAAAACCTAGAAGCTGTGTTGATTCGCGCATTTGGGTGTGATAATGACTTCTTTAAAAACGAAATCAGAAAAACGTCAAAGTTACACGTCGATGATCATGGTCACAATGAAATTTATGTCATATGAAAGAATAATCTGATTCTCATTAATAAAGGGCCTCCTGCCCTCGAAGATTTATTGTCCAATGAAATTTTTCAACCACCAGACTCTGATGAGGATTCATTTTTTGAATAGAAAAAGGTTGGAACAAATTCAATGAATTCTCTGCAGATCGAGCAAAGAAAAATCGCTTGGACACGTGAACCTTAATTTTTAAATGCATCTTAACATGAAAGTATGACGCCATTATTGCTGCAGATATTACGACATCTCCTCAAGGAAGCACTAGTTTATTTATTCGAAATAGGTTTTTAATTCCCTGGAAACAAATATGATTACAATAATAAGCAAGTTTCTGTTATCACCAATGAGGCCAAGTTTGTTAAAATCCGTTCAGTCGTTCAATTAGGATAACAATAAATCACACTCGTCGAACCATTTGATATGGTATTGATATTTCAGTGAAATGTCACTTTGAAAGTTTCAGATGGCGGTTATCTCATGGCCATCTTGGAAACTCGAAAATAATTTTCAAGGTTCCTTTTTTCGACGAATAGTCTTCTGATCTGGTCACCCCGTACATCCATTACGGACGTCAATAAGTCTTTCGGGAACTGTTGCCAATCTAGTTCACCAAGGCTTTCGAATTTTAATAGAGAAGGTTGTGGCATTCATTGTGCATCATTGAATCATTGTTATAGGCGCCACAATTCATATTTTCTTAGGTGTTATTTGTAATAGGTTGAAGTCGAAAGATCAATTCCTCATTGAAGAAACTTATTTTAATAAACAAATATTATATCGATTTTATTTTCAGATTGCAAAAAACGTCCCAACTCTCACAATACTGGTCAGCATCTAAATGGGCCACCAAAAAATACAACAAAGCGCTTAACTCTGCTCTGGGGTGCTACAGGTGAACAAGAATGGACTCCTGCTCTAACTACAGGTAATATTTTAATATTTTCATATTATGTGATGTAAATATAAATGGCTCCAATCATGAAAAGCTTTTGAATGTGGTTTTGACATACTATAGTACTTTGATGATGTGGTATCTTTGATATTACATGCAGTACTTTTTTCAACAAACATTATATTGCCATGACATTGGCTGGGAAAATGTGGATGGGGTAGGCCATCGTTGAGGTTCTCTTCAAAAGGATGAGCCTGACGCGGATAACAACCCGATTTGGATCAATCAAGACAAAGAACCACGAAGAAAAATAATAATAATGCGGCCTAATAAATCGAATGATTCCGAATAAATCGAAATACGACTGATTCTGCCGGCTAACGTGTGGAACATATTTATTTATGAAATCTAGATGGCCAAAAATTCACAGGGTGTTTAAGTTGAAATATATATTATTTTGGACTATTACAGTATCCGCATCACTGATATTGATGAAATTTTGATGATTGAAATTTTTTAAGTTGGCAAATGTAACCATGGAATTTTTGTATTACTCCCTGAGGGGGTGCTTCATATGCTAACGGAAATGGTTTTTTAACCATAGCCATTTAAGGCCAATCGTCTTATCGTTGCTCTGTGTACAGTCACACTAGTCAAAATTTCTCCACAGGTCACACAACTATTTTATATGACGTATCCTCCCATGTATAAATAGACTTTGGTAGAAGTTCATAGTTTCTCAAAGTGGAGTGGAGTAGTAACTACTCAATAATACTCGAAATCATCTCCACGACATTATAATATGATAAACCGATCGAATCAATTGTTACATGCTCCTGACATTTATACAGGGTGTCTCATAAGTAATGGATCAGAAGAAGAGGGGTGGTAGGGGGGTCATTTGTAATCAAAATAACGGTATTATGTTGTAATCAAAAATTCTGTTTTGAATAACCCGATATGTTACACCATTTCGGAATCTGTATTATGATGGGTTATCTATGTGGGGTAGTTTTCAAATCTGCCAGCGGCATTTAAAAATCGACTCGAATATTTCATTCGATGACAAAACTCAAGGAAAACAACATTTTTCTCATGTAATTGATAAGCAGTAATACATGTCATGAAATTATTTCTGGGGAAAGGTGCATCCATGTGAATAGAATTTGTAAAAGAAAAAATCACAAATGCGACATGGTTTTATTGTAATTGATTCTTTTTTAGAGAAGAAAAATCATTAATAACTTTTGAATCATCAACAATTGGATAACCACATGTACGGTTAGTTTGATTGGAAATGGCCCCCTCCTACTACCCTATTTCTCTTGATCCATGACTTATGGGACAACCTGTATATCCATCCTCGGCCTAATCAAATTACCACATTAATTGTGTCCTAGAATGAATGTGAATAATAAAAATCGGATTATAAAATGTAATGCCTACGTGGGAAAGAAAAGAAGGTTGCCACATCTTGATATTAAAAATAAAAGTAACAACCTGGGTATCATTCGTGTCATGTCAGGGGAATCCAACAAACCTCAAATTGAAATAAGTATGGTGGAAACTATAAGAAAGACTACTACGAGGTTCACATCAGCAAGACTTCAAAATGGGAGAACGTGTCTAAGTCCATCTTGTTACGTACTTAACGGAAAATGCAAATCACCTGACCAGGCCAAAATGAACAAAGACATTCGTCACACGTCACAAATCAACAAAAAAGACAAGTAGCATGAGACATCCTGACAATGACTAACAACACCAGTAGACAAAACCGTCGATTTCCTAACAAAAGGAAAAGAGCGAAAATTTGAGGTTGAATCAAATCAAAAAAATTCACATTGTTCAACAAAAATTGGTTTTTGGTATAGATATGTGCACGATTGTTTGGTCCTATTTGATGTTACTGGATGAGGTACACCTGCTTTCAGATCTTTTGAATAAATTTCACCCTTTAATACAGTTCACAATAGAAATTGCTAAGCATAATTCACTCCCATTTTGGATTTATTGATCAACATAGATAATGACATTAAAAATATATTCCACAGGTATACCAAGGACATAAATATTCAATTTCATACTACTGATTATATTTCCTTGTCTAAGTAAATAATAAAGATGAAATCGCTCTTTTACATGAATCAGGGGTCTTTAAAAAGTCTTGTTCTGACTAAAATTGTAACGCTCAGTTTATCGATCCAAATGGTAGGAGAATTCAAACCTAAGTAAATGAGCATGTCAAAAATATCGAAAAACAAGACATTCAATTTGGAGTAAAATACTTATAGTTCTTTTGCAAATCATATCCTCAATTTTAACATGGATATAGGCTTGGAAGTATTACACATTTCCCAACCGAAGATTATTAAATCTGTTGGAAATTTACGTGATAAATGCTCCCTTGAACGACAAGAATGTAGTTTGTTTTTACGTTCAGAGAACCATTTTAACAGCTTGAAATTTATTAATTCACTGGATTTTGATAAACAATTATAGAATTGACATCAGTTTTTGCTCCTGCCTTGGTCTTCGACATACATATCCAATTATTGAGTAATTTTAAAACCATTATTGTTTTCTCAACCTCAAATTTTCGCTCTTTTCCTTTTGTTAGGAAATCGACGGTTCTGTCTACTGGTGTTGGTAGTCATTGTCAGGATGTCTCGTGCTACTTATCTTTTTTGTTAACTTGTGACGAATGTCTTTGCTCAATTTGGCGTCGAGTATGTAACAAGATGGACATGGACACGGTTTCACATTTTGAGGTCTTGATGATGTGGACTTTGTGGTGGTCTTTTTCAAGGTTTCAATTTGGGGTTTGTTGAGTTTCCCTGACATAAAACAAATGATACCCAATTTTGTAATTTTTATTCTTAATATCATTTTTTATGAGTATGTATGTAAGCCATTGCTCCAATTTGTTTAGATCAGATTATATTATATATTTATACCAAAATCCGCATCGGCGTAGAGTTTTATTTGACCATGTAGAACTGAGTTGATGTCGCTCCACCCAAGATGCTATAATTTCTTTATATTCGCATATTATGTCGAATTTTGAACAGAAAAAATGTATCTTTTTTTGACCTAAAAAGAGAGTTTGATGTAATAAATATTGACTTAATGCTAGATAACTTTTACAGATGCGGCATGCGCGGTCTGGCTTTCGAGTGGATTAAATCTCACCTTACCAATATAGAACAAAAAACCAACTTGAAAACAAATGAAATTTCGGTTCATTCAAGTTTCATTTCAGTTACCAGTGGCGTCCCTCAGCGAAGCATACTAGGACCCCTCCTATTTATTGGGATTTTTATAGATGAGCATTTGACTTGGTCGTGTCAAGTTGTTGCAATATTGAAAAAATTGACAATCTACACTTACGTTCTTTGGCAACTTAGGGATAAGGTGGACGTTAATCTCTTATTACTTAATAATTTTGGATATGTCCAATCTTGTCTTTCTTATGCCATCATCTGGTCTTCATAGCTCAACAGAGAATAATTAGAATCATATTATTCAAATCGTATACCTCTTCTTGTAAAGAATTGTTTCCAGAATTGGACCAACTAACATTTCCCTCATTGTTCATCCTTGCATCAATAATGCAGGTCAAAAATAACTTATCTGAATATACTGTTCCTAGAAATAATCAATATGAATTAGAGTTAATATGGATTTGGCCTTACCCAAGCACAGACTGACCAAAGTAGCAAATAGTCCCATTGTGCTACCTATCAAATTATATAATAAACTACCAATTAACTTGAAAAAAAAAATAAAAATACCCTTAACATTATTTTGATTAAAATGCATCTTATTCAATCAATGATTTTTTCAATTGCAACGTCTCTGACCTCGCACCTGATACTTTTTGTTGATGTCCTTACCACTTTTGTTTGTGTGCAAAATTTTTCGAATTTTGCTTTTCTACCTATTATGTATGTTTACTCACTCTATATCGGATTTTTCACTCAGAAAACCTATTTCGACATTATCCAATAAATACTGCAGTCTATGGAAATAAATATTTTGTATTTGTATTTGATGTATACTGAAAATAGACTAGGTCCCAGCATGGAACCCTGAGGCACTTCACATTTCACAGTTTTCTCAGGACTGTATTCATACAAACTGTTGTATGCCTATTAGATTCATTTTTTTTCTGGTAATAGTGTGTGAAAACTTTTTGTAAGTCAAGGAACACCATTGCTACCTTTTTCCTTGGTCTACTTGGAGTTGTAATTCAGATACAAGATCCAAGGTAGCCGAAACTGTGTCGCTTGATTCACGAAGACTGATAATTATACAAAAACTTTATAATTTTCAAATAACTAATGAGTCTACTATTGACAATGCTTTCAAATACTTTGGATATAGACGGTAGGACAGAAATCTGGCGGTAGTTATTAGCAGAGTCTTCGATACAACGGACGTACTTTGGCCACTTTTATATTTTCAGGTACTTCACCCCAGTAAATAAAGTGAATGATTAATCAGTTCGCACTGGACTGGCACAATTAATTTTTCAAAAATATTTCCAAAGATCTCACGTCCACAGAGTCTGCACCTATAGTGTGAGTCCACAGACTCATAACTTTTTCCACTTCTTCCTTATTGACTAAGCAAAAAACATAGTTTTGTTGGAGCAGTGCTCTTTAGAGACATCTATTGGTTGATATGGAAGTTTTCTAGCTATTTCTTGTTCAGTTTCAACGAAAAATGAATTCATGTGGTCTCATATATCTTGACGATTTGTCAGTACACTATTATCTTAGATAATAGACTCGATTCAAGTAGGACCATTTTTATATTTATTGTATTAGATAAAGTTGATTACACGTCACGTTTTTTTTTGCTATCACCTCTGGTATCTCTAAATTGACTTGCCTAAGATTGATGTTCATCATTGAACGCTACAGAATCTTCAAGGACATTTAGTTTTTCCATCGAGCATCTCATTGTTTGTCAAGGTCTTGTTTTGTTTTTTATCATCATGCTTGGTTTTGAACCCTTTCGTTCCCTTT